AGAGGCGGGGATGGGACAGAGATCCGATGCCGGGCACACTCGGATGTGGCTGTCTGGGGTTGCTCTGCCACAGGACCGGCAGTGGGGCTGGAGATGCTGCCTGCGGCATGGGCTAGGCTTGTTCGCAAGGATGCGGGCAGCTCCCTGAGAGCCAAACCACGGCACTGAGCAGTGGTACCCCTTCTTTCCTGGCAGCCAGTGCGAGAGGAACCCCTGCCCCATGGAGAGCCGAGCCTGCCGCCTGGCCGCCACCTCCATCTCCTTCCACTACCTGCCGCTGCAGGCCAACCGCACTGTGCCCCGCGTCCTCTTCAAGATGTCCACCACCCGCTTCGTGGGCGACAGCCTGCGCTTCACCATCATGGGCGGCCGGGGCCAGGGTGTCTTCGCCGTGCGGCGCTCCGACCGGCAGACGGGAGAGCTGGTGCTCACCAGCCCTGTGGCAGGGCCAGCCACGCTGGAGGTGGAACTGGAGATGAGCGAGTTCTCCCGCAAGGTCCTCCTGGGCAAGCACATCTTCAAAGTTACAGTCTTTGTGTCCCCATATGAGTTTTGATCCCCTTTGGAGGCGGGTGTGGGGCCAAGCCAGGGTCTCTCCTGGGGAGTGATAGAGCGGGTTCAGCTCAGTGGTCCCAGTTCTTGTCCCATTGGAGACATCCCTCTCCTGAAATGCTTGCTCATGGCTGGTAAGGCAAAGTCACCACAGCAGAAATGGTGCCCGGCGCAAAGGCTGCAAGGAAAACCCTGCGGGCAATGGGGGGACCAGCCTGGGGGTGCCTGCTTCTGCCAGCCCCCCGCCCCTCTGCCTGCACGGCACATGGACGGGCACGGCAGAGCGAGCCAACGGCACGTGGTGCGCAGGTCTGGCTCCTTGTATCTTGTAACCTCTAAATAAAAGAAAAGCGGCTGTAGGAAGGATGTCCTCCTTGCTCTATGCCTGCAGCGTGGGAGCAGCCCCGTGCTCCTGGGGCAAGGCTTCTGGGGAGAACTGGGGGCTGTGGTGACAGCAGGGTCCCCTTGCAGATCTTGGGGTGCCAGTAGAGCTGTTAAGCCCACCCAGGATCACGCAGTGTCCGTGTCCCTCCCAGCACCACTGTTCCCGGGGGTCACGCTGAAGAGCCCCCCAGTGTAGGGGGGGGATGGGCTGAACACGCTGCCCTGCACGTCCTGCAGAGCCAAGGCTTGTCCCCAGCCCTGTTGGCAGGCGCCAGGAAAGCGCAGCGGGGCTCCCTGGCACATGGTGAGCAGGGGACAGCAACCGGGGGCCGCGCTTCTTCGCGGCCCTCTGCAACAGCTCTGACAGGAGCCGACCGGACGGGCGGTCAAAACTTGAGCTCCGC